CACGGAGCACGACTGCCTTGATGCTGAGCCAGAGTGCCTGGGAGATAACAGATATGCACGCCTGGGAAAGGAAACAATGCCTAATTTCTCTTGGAAGGAAAGAAGAGAGTATGTGAATCCAGTGCTGGGCTTTTCAGAGAGCTGCCACAGGACCATATCTGCCTCATTGACTGGGGCAGTAAGCAAGGACACAGCTTCCTAAATGCTGAGAACGGGGAGCAGGGGATCGGGCAGCACACTGCAGACAGTAGAGGAAACAAGCCACTAGGAACTCTCGCCTCCCCAAACATCAGTCATCTGTATAGAAAGATCTTCCACCTGCTGGTTCACTCCCCAAGTGGTTGCAAAGTCCAGAGCTGAGCTGATCCAAAACCAGGAGCCAGGAGTTTCCTCTGGGTCTTCCATTCAGACACTGGGTCCCAAGGATTGGGGCAATAAGCAGAAGCTGGATCAGAAGTGGAACAGCCAGGACATGAACCATTGCTCAGATGAGACACTATCAGAGCAGGCAGAAGCTTAACCTACGACACCATGACGTTGGTGCCTTCACAGTCTTAATAATAATTTTAAAAAAACCTCTTCAAACTACCACCAAAAGCAACTTATCACATATAAAGGAGTTCATAGTATCAGCAGAAATTTTCCTAAGCAGAAATGAGCGATATAATATATTCAGAATGATGAAAAGAAAATCTTGCTAATCAAGATACCATAACCAACAAGACCAATGACAAACGGGAGCCAGCTAAGACGTACACATAACACATTAAGCCTCCACCTGCAGCGCCAGCACCTCATTTGGGTACCAGTTCAATTCCCAGCTGTTCCACTCTGATTTCAATTACCTGCTAATGGTGTGGAAAAACTCCAAAGGATGGCCCAAGTACCCAGGCCCTTGCCGCTCACACAGGAGAAGCTCCTGGCTCCTGGTTTCAGCCCGGTCCGGCTCCAGCCCCTGTGGCCTTTGGGGAGGGAACCAGCAGATGGAAGCCCTCTGTCTCCTGCTCTCCTTCTCTCTGTATTTCTGCTTTTCAAATAAAATAAAATAAACCTTTTTTAAAAATGACCAATGGATTCTTTGTTTCCCTTTGCCATGGCGGGAGATGTGTCCCTTCCAGGGATCCTCCCCTCCGGCCTGACTTCCGCAAAAATAAAACAAAAAATGACAGATGAATGTGAACAAAAACTTGGGAGGTCAACGTTTTCAAATTTTGGTCTGGAAACGGGAAAGGCATAAAAAAATACTGTAAAGCTCTTTTCACACAACACACAAATATAAACTCTGTGATATCAATAACAAAGTGGGAACAAAGCAGTATAAAAGATCTTATGTACAATTAATGGCTTAAAATAGACTGCTGCCATTGTTTTATATAAACCCTGACGGTGTAAGAAAATGCTTACAGAACCGAAACCGTAATGAGAACGGAAGCACAGCATGCCCACAGAGAAGAGCAGCAGCTACCAGGACAGGAAGGGGGCGAGAGGCAGGGGGCGACTGGCAGAGCGGTGACTGGCAGAGGCAGCCAGCAAGACGGCAGCGGCTCCCACTTCTCAGTGATTGCTCTCTCCCATTCTTGCTGTGACTGAGAAGGGGAGACAGAAAAAGCTCCCATCCTTTGGATCCCTCCCCAAATTCCCACAACGCCTCAGCCAATCCTGGGAGCTGGCAGATGTGAACTAGGCAGACATTCCAACTCCCTGAGCCTCGGCCCTCCAGGACGCTTACTGGCGGGCAGTGGGAACTGAAGGCTGCAGTTGGGTGTAAACCCCAGCACTCTCACATAGGACATGGGCATCTGCCTGCTAGACAAGACAGACAGCTCCACTTAGCAGATTGAACTACTTAATCAGAAGCCAGGGCAGGGGCCCAGTGTGATGGCTCAAGGCTAAGCCCCCGCCTTGTAAGCAGCAGGATCTCATATGGGCACCGATTCATGTTCTAACTCTCCAATTCTCATCCAGCTCCCTGCTAATGGCCTGGGACAACAGTAGACCATGGTGCAAGTCCTTGGGACCCTGAATCCACATGGGAGACCCAGAACCTCCTGGCTCCTGGATTTGGAGCCAAGAGTTTATATCAGTAAATGCCTGTATTAAAAAGGGAATATTTCACTTCAAATCCAGTCTAACTTCAAAACCCAAGGACTAGGAAAGCAAGAACAAAAGAAACAGCTGAACTCAAAGTAGAAGAAAGCAAAGCCGATATAAACAAAACAGATCAGGGGAAAAAAACACACAAACTCAAATTAGTTCTGGAAAACAACCACAAAAAAGCCCTAAGCCAGAGTAAGAATAAATAAATAACTACAATCAAAAACGAAACAGATGTCACAATGAACTATGTAAACATACTGGATAACCTGGAAGAAAGTCCTAGAAATACGTAACTGTCAAGACTGAAACAGAAAGGAAAACAGAATGTGAACAAATATATAACCAGTAAGGAGATCAAATGACTAACCCAAATGCCCAACTATCAAGACTGAATCATGAACAAGCAGACAATGTGACGGACATATATAATTAGTAATATTAGATAACTAACACAAAGCCTCCCAACAGGGATGGCGGCATGCTGCTGACTGAACCCTAGCATGCAATACGGGAACGCCCACGGATGCCCTACTTGCTCCACTTTCGATCCAGCTACCTGGGGATGCACCTGGAAATTTAGCAGAAATTTAGCAGAGGCTTCCTTCCCTGCCACCCATGTGGGAAACAAGGATGGCGTTCCTGGCTCCTGGCTCCGGCCAGGCTGAGCCTTGTTAGCTGTGGAGTTTTGGGGAACGAGCCAACAAAGAAATATCGGCAATCCTCCTACCCCCATATTATTCCCTCTTTTTTCTATCTCAAGCAAATCAGTAAATCTTTAAAAACAAAGACATCCAACAATGAGAAACCCAGGACCACATGGCCATGAAGAATAAATCAATCTTGTATTTCCTGCTTCTGCAATTCCTACAAGAATTCAAATACTTCCAAACTCACTTGAAGAGGCCGGCATCACTCTAATACCAAAATCATACAAAGAAACTACAAGACAACAAAGCCAAAAACCAATGTTTACTAACGTAAAGATTCTTATAGTAGCAAACCAAATTCAACAGAACTTAAAAGATAAATACATGTAACTAATTTGAATTCTCGGGTGTAAAGTTGGGTCAAAAACATGAAAAGTTATTTTTGTGGAATATATCACGCTATTAGAATACAGGGATTTCCCCCCAAAATGCCATGATCATCTCCATTGATGGGAGAAAAGCAATGGACACAAATAAAATACCTTTCCAACTGAAAAACAGAAAAAAATCACGAAGCCCATAACAAAACAATTTACAAACATGAACGAGATCACGTATGAGGAGACCACAGCTAACATCATACTCAATGGCAAAACCAGAGAGCTTTTTCTCTACGATCAAGGCAAGGCAAGATCAAGGCAAGGCAACAATGTTCATTCTTGCCACCTCCTCAACATGGTGTTCAAGTCCTAGCAGGACAGACAGTCTCGAAAATGCTTCCAACTGGAATCAAAGCAAGAAAGTAAAACTTGATTCACAGAAAACATAACTCTTATATAGAAAATCCTACAGATACCACAAAAATCCTGTTAGAATAAAATTCTAAACAATATTAAACATAAAATTTAAACAATAATCTGGTCATAGAATGGGCACAGGACTTCATGGAATATTCTCTTAGGATAAGCAAATGGCCTTTAAATACCAGAAAAGCAACTCCGTCCCACTAATCATCAGAGAAGAGAAGCGCGAAGTCTCCCTCCCAGCCCTCCATGTGGTCACTGTCAGTGTAAGAGGCCAGGCGCTACAGTGACACAGACACAGGAGCCTTGGGACACTGCTGGAAGGTCTGCACACTGGTGCAGATCCCACAAAATATTAACAATATAATTACATATGATCCAGTATTGCTAACTTTTTAATATATCTATATATAAGTCTATCTATCTATCTATATTTTTAGATATATTTTATACATATATAGATACATCCAAAAAAAAATTCTTAAAACAATTGGATTTAAATCTTAGGCTCACGGGCTAATGTGATGGCTCAACAGGTTAGTTCTTTGTCTTGTAGAATCAGTATCCCATATGGGCACTGCTTTGTGTCCCTGCTGCTTTATTTTCAAATCAACTCCCTGATTATGGCCAGGGAAAGCAGCAGAGGATGGCTCAAGTCCCTGGGTTCCTGCAGCCATGTGGGAGACCCGGAACAAAGTCCTGGCTCCTAGCTTCAGACCAGCTCAGCTCTGGACACTGTGGTCATTTGAGAGATGAACCACCTGATAGATCTCTCTGTCTCTTCTAAATCTATCTTTTCAAATAATAAACAAATAAATAAAGAAGCCTTTGCCAGGGGTGGGGGGGGGCAACATCTTAAACTCAGAGTCTCTCAATTATTTCCAGTAACAAACTCAATCCCAAAAAGTTCACAGAGGTGTTAAAGGTATAAAACAGAGATCAGCATACAACTGAGGGAGGCAGCTTCTGGTACAATGTAATCTCTGAAAACATGGAAATCTCATCTTCAGAATTGAAAATTCAGACCCTTCTACAGAAAAACTCCTTTTTGAAGGGCTGGCACTGTGGATAGGCCATGTCAGTGAGAGCAGCGGCTCCATTTCCAACCCAAAGCCCGGCTGCTGTGGCAGGAAGACGAGCAGACGGTCTCGGGCCTCAGGCCTTCCACCGGAGGAGGCCACGAGGGGGCCCGGAGCCCCAGCCTCGGCCATGCCCAGGCCCAGTCACGGCAGTCACTTGGGGAGCCAACTACGAGCCATTACTTCACCACACCCTCCCTCCCCCACATCCTCTCACCAGCCTGCCTTTCAAAAATACAGTTTTTCCCTCAATCAAGCAGCAATCCTTCGTTTTCACTCCCACTTTCACAATTCTACATGAAAACGGACCATGCCCAGGACAATTTATGAGCACTTTTTTCCAATCCCTTTCTGTCCTGGTCACAAGCTCTCACCTGGTTCAGGAAGCTTGGCCTGTGGTGTCAGGCTGGGAATTCCTGGCTCCTTTTCCCGCTCCTCACTGCTGGCAGCCGATTTCTCGCAAGCATTCAAGCGTGGTGCAGCTGAATCCAAGTGGCCAGCAGGACTTGGATCTGTCAGTGAGTGCTCCGGGCCATGTGTGGAAGGAGTTGTTCTATTCTCTGCGAACGCATCACGCCGCTCCTCGACAGGGTCACCAGGAAGCAGGACCGCAAAGGCAGCCTCTGAGTTCTCCTTCTCCCTGAACCTGCCGCCACGCTTACGAGGTTTGGTGCGCCTTTGGGTCAAACGCTGCCACCGTTTTTTAGGCACCACTTGACTGACAGGGCTGGGTTCGTCATTCTCGCTGTTTGCTTCGGAGGTCAAGTCCAAGCATTTACTGCTCCGTTCAACTGTGGGCTGCTTCTCAGGGCACTGATCAGGACCAGACTGCTCAGCCTTGCTCTCAAAACGAACCTCAGCTGCTGCAGGGGCCTTCTGCGCACAGGAGTCCTCCTTGGCGGCATCTTCCACCACACCTGGGGACGAGCCACTCACGGAGCAGCCATCCTCGCCGTCTCCGGGCAGTGGGACTTCAGCAGTCACCACGGGAAGGCGGGTGGGCTTTCTTTTGCGCTCTATCTTTAAGGCCTTGCGGTTCACGATGTCTTTTCCCATTTGGGCTGAAAAAGCGTCACGCAACTTGGACAGCTTGGATCGCCCCCAGTTGCGCCTCGTCACACAGTTTGCACGGTGTTTAACAGAAGCAGGGGGGTCTCTTCCCTCGGGTGCTAACACAGGTGGGGGAGCAGATGGCGGAGAGTCCACTCCACCCGGGCTAGGACGGGCGGAGTCTGGAGCGCCATCTCCACTTTTTTCTGACTTATGCGTGGAGCTTCCTGGAGTCAGCACCTTGGAAGCCCCTGCGGGAGTACTGGTGGAACAATCCCCCCGACTAGGACTCCGATAAGAGACCAAGTTTTGAGCTGTCATCAGTCGCTGCTCCTTGGTCTTGCTGTCATGCATGTCTTTCAGCATCATTAGCAACGTGCTGAATTTGTAGTCTGGTTCAAGGGGCATGTGATTCTGATTAGAAGAAGAAAAAAGTAAGGGTTTAGATGGCTTAGAAGTCCCAGAGTCACTGACATCCTCACCTAAGGATCTGTAAGAGAGCTCCTTCAGCTCTGATAGCACGTGCTTCACCACCGCGCTCTCTATGTCGCTCGAGTCCCTGGTCTTCTCATGCATGTTGCTCAGTAGTTTCAGCCCGTCCATCTTCCCACTCTTGGGGCCGCTGGCCAGAGCAGAGCCTTTGGTATCCGAAGAGCAGTATTTCAAACTGCAGTCCTCATTTGGAACTGGTGGTTCTACACTCGCTGGGGTTTCTTTAGGCTTGGTGCACTTTATACTTCGGAACTTGGGGGGTTTGCTTTTCAAATGTAAGAGAGCTTGACTGGTAGTCCCACCCGGCGTCACTACTGAGTTCTCACTGGAAATGCTTGATGGGGTGTTGAATTTTGGAGTGAGACCATCATTTTTAAAGTCTGATTGGGGTTTGTGGACAAGAGTGGACACCGTAAGATCAGAGAGATTAACTGGAGGCGTCTCAGTTCCCAGCTCTGTTGTCTTGGTGCAGTTTATTAAGTGGTCACTATGGGAGTTAGTGATGAGGGGCTTCGGTTTTGCTTTTACCCTAGAGTTTGTGGTAGAATACCTAGAATACGTTATCTTCTCATTTTTCTGCATGGATACCATATTCTCTGTTCTATCAAAAGTATCTGCAAGTTCAAGGACACCACTGTCTGACTCGGAGCTCTGTTCCCCAGCATCGAGATCGCTGCTTCCATCATCAGAAGTGGTGCAGATACTGATGGAATCGCTGCGTTTCTCCTCCTCACTCGCTCCAAGATAGCAAAGCTGCACTTTAGAACTGCACACAGGCCCTCGCTGGGGCTTCTTTTTCTCCCCAGAGCGTTTAGAAATCAAGGCACCCTCCGACAAGCCCAATAAAGAGTCACAATTGGAAGTCTCAGATTCTTTCTTTGCAGTGTTTTTTCCACAAGAAGAAAACAGAAAGGTTGCTGGGGCAGAACTGGACCCTGTGAGGCTGTTTGCTATCCTGGAAAGCTCATTAGATGCTTGCGTATCAGATGCATCCCCAGAGATGAAGTTCAAGCCGAGGTTCTCGGAGATCTTCGCCCTCCGCACTTCCTTATGCGCCTCAAACTGCAGGTGGCCCTTTTTGATACTAGTCCTTTTGGGGTTATCAGAGTTCTTTCGGGCACAAAGCTTTTCCTTCTCATCTGCAGAATGTTCAGAATCAAAATCCAGAGACTCCAAGCAGCCATTGAGCAACAAGCCGTGCTCCGATTCAGGGTCATGCGTGCAGTCCTCGAACGGCATATCCTCCTCACTGTCCAATTTGATCGAGCTGCTGCCACATTTTCGAGCCTTTGACCCTTTGGGAACATCATACTGTTCGGCAAGACCAACACTGGCTTCCCATTTACTCAAAATTTTCTGAGGAACCTTAAATTGAAAGGACAAAAAGAGTATCACTTTTCAGAGAAATGGGAAAGGAACAAGACGACAAATAAATGGCTAGCTCCCAAATCAGAAGTTTTTCCACTGTTAAATAACTTAAAGTCCCTTTAATTGGGACAAGCTGGAGGGTTAGTTTCTAAGCTCCCCAAGGCTCACCTGATAGGAATTCCTTAACGTCACTGCTACCAAAGATATTCAGCACTAGAGAAAGGAGTAAGCGCCCATACGTTCCATCCCTTCTGCATTTGTAAGCACAGAGCACAAGGGGACAGATCATGACCTAAGCCTAAGATGACAGAACAATACACTCATTCTTTTCTTGACTCTTCATAGCGTAAGGAAACCGAAGCTCTAGGAAATAATCACAATTACTCAGATTCTTGATCTCATATAAAATATTTACTTAAGGTTCTAACTATCAGTTACCATTCACAAATAGAACAAATTGTGTGAGAAATTAAGGTCACTGGAAGGTAGCCTCCTCTTAAAGGGCAGTAAACTGACCATCTGATTTCTTTCACATATAAATATACCCTTCAGGCCAGGCGTGGTAGCCTAGTAGTTAAATCCTTTCCTTGCATATGGAAGCCAGTTTGTGTCCCAGCTGTTCCACTTTCTATCCACCTGCCTGCCCTTGGCCTGGGAAAGCAGTAGAGGACGGTCCAAAGCTTTGAGACCTTTCACCTGCATGGGAGACCAGGAAGAAGCTCCTGGCTCCTGGCTTCAAATCAGCTCAGCTCTGGCTATTAAAGCCACTTGTAGAATGAACCAGCAGACTGGCCAGTCAAGTCCCATCATTGCTTCTGAGACACAGCAGTTAGAATAACTGCTCAAAAACATGGATTAAAAAAAAAACTAAGGCTACATGTTTCAAAGATTAGTTTGGCTTACCCTTCAGATGAGGAAAAAAACGAAAGGAGATTACGTGCTATACCAGATTACAAAACTGCCTGATGTGTGCCAACTATTGCCTGGATGCATGCAACCCACAGGAGCACCTGCTACTCCCATGCAGCTCCAGCTCCCTGCCAGTGAGGCTGAGGAAAAGAAACACAGCCACAGTGCCTGGGCTTTGGTCACCCACCTGGGAGACCCTGATGCATTGCCCGGCTCCTAGTTTCAGCCAGAACAGCTCTAGCATTTGCTCTCATTTAGGGAATGGGCCTGTGGATGGAAGCTCTCTCTCCCTCTCTGTCATTCTGCCTTTCAAATAAGTAAGAAAGGAAAGAAGAGGAAGATAAAATGGCTAGGGAAGACAGGGAAGAAGGGAAAGAAAAAGGAAAGAAAAAGGGGGGAGGGCAATGGCTTCCTTGTTGTCTCCTCACAGATACCCTACAACTAAAGGAAATGGCATTTTCCAGAATATACTTTTTCGGGCCCGGAGCGGTGGCGCAAGTGGTTAAGGTCCTCGCCTAGCACGCCCGGGATCCCATATGGGCGCTGGTTCTAATCCCGGCAGCCCCGCTTCCCTTCCAGCTCCCTGCCTGTGGCCTGGGAAAGCAGTCGAGGACGGCCCAAAGCTTTGGGACCCTGCACCCGCGTGGGAGACCCGGAAGAGGCTCCTGGCTTCGGATCGGCAAAGTATCGGCCCGTTGCGCTCACTTGGGGAGTGAATCATCGGACGGAAGATCTTCCTCTCTGTCTCTCCTCTCTGTATATCCGCCTTTCCAATCAAAAAATAATAAAAATAAATCTTTAAAAAAAAAAAAAAAAAAAAAAGAATATACTTTTTCACTTACTCTCCTTTTTAACCAACCAAAAAGTAGATCATTTCAATCAGTTTATAAAATTTATTTTCAAAAGACAGAGAGACAAAGAAACAGAGAAAGGGGAAAGAGGGAGCACACCCCCTGTGCCGTCACTCTCCCAGTGCAGCGGGAGCTCAGGCGTGGACTGCCATGAGGGGACCGGCCCGGGCAGCAGCCGGCCAGCGCGGCTCCCCACGCTGTGTGTCAGTGCTGGAACCCCGGCCCTCCAGGACCCCAAGCTCACACACGAGGTTGTTAGGTTTACCTTATGTCTATATCCTTTCTCTTTCTGCTTCCCTCTTCTCCTGAGGACAGGGAGCTCTTCAAACTGATGTCTGCCTTCAAACATGACGATTGCCTTCCCAGCCACCCAGGCTCGTTCAGAGGGGTCTCCAAAGGCCTCTACGTAGTACTGACGATAGGGCCTCCGGTTGGAAACTAAGTAAGGATAAAGATCAATTGTTCATTGTTAAAATGTCATCATGGAGCATCCAGAAAAAAGCCTCATGTTATTCCTAAAGAAGCCACTGTTCACAATCTGCAGAAATATCAACAAAACTAGAAAATCTGAAGTCACATTAGGAAAAGTTTAAATATTCAACTGGTATGACAACAAAAAGGGCACATATAAGTTTGCTAAAAGAACAGCGAATTTTGTGGCTGATGCAATGGCATAGTAAGCTAATGATCTGCCGTGGCCCCACATCCTATGTGGACGCCGGTTGATTCACGGCTACTCCACTTGAGCAATTTTTGTAAACCTTAGCAATTTTTAAGGGCAATCCATTCATTACCGAAAGACTTTCAGTTTGAGGGCCAAGAATGCCCAAAGACATAAATGAATAAAACCAATCAAATGACAAGTAATTTACAACACTAAATCATAAAATGGAAGGAAAATGGAGCCAGCACCATAGGTGAATAAGTTAGGCCTCTGCCCGCAGTGCTACTTCCCATATGGTCACCATGTCAAGATCTGCCTACTCCACTTAGGATCACACTCCCTGTTTATACACATAGGAAAGCAGCAAAAGGTGCTTGGATCTTGTGCCCAAATAGGGCACCTACAAGAAGCTTTGGTGCCTGGCTTCAGACCAGCCTAGCTCCAGCCACTATGGCCATTTTAAGAGCCAACCAGCTGACAAGGCTCTTTCTCTCTCCTTTTCTCTCTGTAAATCTCTTCAAATAAAAATACAAATACTTAAAAACAGAAGGAAAGAAAACCAAGTAGCATAAGCAGAAAGATCTGCACTGACTCACTTGGCAATGAAGACGCTCATTTACACTGGGAAGCCAGCAAAAGGCTTTGCACTTTGGAAAAAAACAAACTTCTTTGACCTTTAAATAACACAGTTAAGAGGGAAGCAGGAAACAGGTGCTGAGCCTAGGCTAAGGTCCTCGCCTTGCATCCATTGGGATCCCACATAGGTGTCGGTTCTAATCCCAACAGTACCGCTTCCCATCCAGCTCCCTGTGGCCTGGGGAAGCAGTGGAGGACAGCCCAAAGCCTTGGGACCCTGTACCCGTGTGGGAGACCCGGAAGAGCTCCTGGCTTCAGGTTGGCTCAGCTCTGGCCGCTGCGAGTGCTTGGGGACTAAATCAACAGACGGAAGGTCTTTCTTCCTTCTTCTTTCTGTATATCTGACTTTCCAATAAAATTTTTTAAAATAAATCATGAAAAAAGAATAGATGTCTGCAGATCATAGTTGACTGTAGTGATACAAGACTGTTTTTTGTCACCCTAGTCTGAGTTCAGCAAAAATAAAGACTTGGAGCTTTTGAAAAAGATGTTTAAAAAATTAAATATACAAGTAGCTATTGACAAAACTGTTAAAAGGAGGGGGGAAAGGATGTTTACCTAAGGCAAGGAAAAAACTGGCTAAAACTAAAGGCAACTCTGACTTCATAATGCATCTGTATTTGATTAGGAATACAAAGCAACTGCAGGAAGTACCTTTCATTTTTGAGTGGGTGTTAATCAATGGATCAGAGCAAATCCGGCACGGCCACCAGGGGCGCCTCTTGAATTTTGCCCAGATGAGATCTCCAACTTCATACTTCAGCGGGGTAGACTTTTTCTTGGATTGACACTGCAGACAGATAAAATAGAAGGTATCAGCAAGAAGCAAAACCTTCTGGAACAGTCTATCATGTTCCCTTGGCCTCTGAGCAAGTTCTATCCAAATATGCAAGAATGGAAATAGTCTAGCCTAACAATTACAAAATAGACACAGGTCAGTATTTTCCCTCATTCATACCTTTGCCTTCTATACCATAGCAGTCCGTAACTAAAATTTGTCTTACAAAACCACCCCAGTGAAGATATCTTAGTTCTTCTAGTTGTTGAATCATAACCCTTGACCAGTAGTGAGATTAGGGAAAGACATTAAACAATATCAAGACATTTCAGTTCACTTACAACAACATCCATCTCAAGACCTTTCTGACAATTAACTAATGACCCAAGGTGAAAAATTCTCAAGGTTCTATGCAGCTCATCTGCATTTTTCCAGAACATCCAAGACCGGGCTGCATTCAGAGCAAACTTATACAACACTCAGAATGCAGCCCTCACGAATCCCTCCAAAGCGTCCAATGTGACCCTGGTACCATCTTCAGAGATGCCTAAAAGATATGGTTTTAAATTCTTCCAACTCAAACAGAACGAAGTCTTCAGCACAAAAAATTTCCTAACTTGAGATGAAAAACATACATGTCTCACAGGCCCGACCTTCTGATTCGGTGTAGCAAAGGAGCTAAATGTGCGGATATTTCCAGATGGCCACAAGAAGTTACTAGCACTAATCTTTTCTTTTTACTTTGAGGTGACATACAATGTTCTGCTTTTATGTGTCTCAAAAAAAAAAAAAATACTTGGTAAGCACCCAACATCAGATTCAATCTTCCCTTCCTTAATACAACGCCGATCTGGGACAATTTAAAACACCAATAAAGGCAGGCTGGCCAGGGCAGCAGCACCTGTCGCCATACATGTGGCCCAAAGGCTCAGGCTGAGCTGAACTACAGCACACATGGACATGTACAAAAACTGGACAGGATGTGGGATGAGCCAGGCTTGGCTGCAGCACATGCAGAAAAGGCAGCAGGCAGGCCCACTGGAATGCATGAAGACAGGCCTATGACAGATCGGGCTGGGCTAGGCCACAGCACCAGTCAGTTTCCATGAAAGAGGAGGCTGGGACCTGGCGTGGCAGCCTAGCAGCTAAAGTCCTCGCCTTGAATGCGCCAGGATCCCATCTGGGTGCCAGTTCCAATCCCAGCAGCTCCACTTCCCATCCAGCTCCCTGCCTGTGGCCTGGGAAAGCAGGCAAGGATGGCCCAAAGCCTTGGGACCCTGCACCCGTGTGGGAGACCCGGAAGAAGCTCCTGGCTCCTGCACCCTGGCTTCAGATTGGTGCAGCACCGGCCATGCATTCACTCCTTGGGGAGTGAACCATCTGATGGAATATCTTCCTCTCAGTCTCTCCTCCTCTCTGTATATCTAATTATCTAATAAAAAATAAATCCTTAAAAAAAAAAGTTATGGGGACCGGCACAGCAGCCTTGTGGCTAACGTCCTCGCCTTACACACACCAGGATCCCATACGGACACAGGTTCATATCCCAGCTGCTCCATTTCCCATCCAGCTCCCTGCGTGGCCTGGGAAAGCAGTCGAGGACGGCCAAAGGCCTTGATACCCTGCACCCACAAGAGAGATGCAAAAGATGCTCCAGGCTCCTGCTTTAGATTGGCTCAGCTCCAGCCATTGCGGCTGCCTGGGATGTGAATCAACTGACAAAGGATCTTCCCCTCTGTCTCTCCTCCTTTCTGTATACCTGACATTGCAATAAATATAAATATTTGGAAAAAAATTTTTTTAAGAAAAAAGATAAAGAAAAAAGAAGCCAAGAATGTTATGATACTAAATTCTTCCCAGGCATACCTGAAAGTTCCAGTTGAGCGAAATATCAGAACAACAATCTCCTGAAACAACTTCCTCCGAGTGTGCAGTACCACACACCCTAAGGCCAGGAGCAGAGGGAAGAGGGCCCTGGACCTGACAGTTACCGCAAACCTTACAACAGTGCAAAGGATTCAATCCTCCTTTTAAGATAAAGCAGGGAGAGCACCATGGTTTAGCAGTTAATCCCAAGTCTGTAGTGCCAGCATCCAATATGGGGTCTGGTTCAAGTCCCAGCTGCTCCAGTTCTCTTCCAGTTCCCTGCAAATTTGCCTGGGAAAGTAAAGATGGCCCAGGTCCATGGGCCCCAGCGCCCCCATAGGAGACCCAGAAGAGGCCACAGGCTCCTAGTTAGCCCAGCCACAGCCACTGCAATCACATAGGGACTGAACGAGCAGATGAGGGACTCTGTCTCTGCTTCTCTCTCTCTCTGGAAATCTGCCTTTCAAATAAAACGAATGCCAAATCTTTAAAAATAGCAATATAAAAGACAAAAGATATGACTTTAGAAACATTGGTTTACACTGTATCTAAAAACTATAAATCAACAAGTTCAAACTGTCCACTTTTAAGTATAAATTCACTATGTCAGAAGACAAATCTATCATCTTATTTACATATTACCAACCTTTAACATGATGGTGCTTTTTAAAATCAACCTCAGAAGGAGGCTTGTGTCCCAACCCTGGAGACTTCCGGATCCCCACCAAGGACTGACAATATGGGCACCAAGGACTACATCCCAACTGCCAAAGAGACCACGGGGAACTGGAATGCCTTCGGAGGCCGAGAACTTAGAGGGCATCCGCCCCCCGCCCTCTGGACCTACCATACGGGATCGAAGAAGCCCGAGCCCCTCATCTTGGGACCGAGGGCCATCAGAAAAACACACAGGAACGCTGAGTGGTCCTCAGAACCAGAACAGTAAACCTCCTTCGGAATTGGGGAGAGGAGCTTTCTTTAGGCCTTGCTTGGTTCCAGCTCTGGGTCCTCACCCTCTCTGCAATGACGCCTGGGGTTGCTCCAGAGCCCGCCCTCCAAACACACACACAAGTTAGAATAGACAGGCAGAGAACAAAAAGGAAAGCCTGATGACCATAAACTCATACACCCTTCACTACGGAGGACACGAGGATTAAGTACTCCTCAGCAAGGCATTGAGAACTTCTCTGCATACCCCTCCTAAACTGTTTCGCACCTCAATTGTTGAAATGTCATCCAAGTAGTCACAGGATGTGGTTAAGAACTTGCTTACTCGATATGTCAGTTCCACAAAACTGTACATTGTTGCTGATGTTATGTTTGGGCTTGTAACTGACCGGGATCTTACTTTGTTGGCTCTAACTTTGGACCAGACAGGGTCTCCCCAAGAAGCTGTTGAACTTATCTGGGTGATGAGACGCTGGACTCTATGCTAGGCATAGGCTCACAGGGAAGGAATCTCAACTGAACTTGAACTGTGGATACGAAACAAGGTGGAAGAATCCACCATGGGGGGATTGGGGGAGGAGAGAGGGGAATTCCAATACCTAAAAAGCTGTATCACATAATGCAACGTAATAAATTAAAAAAAAAAAAATACTACTATAGTAAAAAAAAAAAAAAGAGAGACAAAAAAAAAATCAACCTCAGAAAGACGAAAAATAAGTAATGACTTAAAATGCACTTTGTGTATTATGCGAAGCAACTGGCAGCAGGTAAGGCAACCATTAGGGGCACTGAATCAAAATGCCCACTTAGAGTCCAGGCTCCAGTGCCCACTGTGCCCCGGCCGTAGCAGGTGACTGACACATCACCCACAGCCCAATGTTAGAGCCAGAAGAAGCTCCAGGCAGCTGGCTCCAGCTCAGCCCACATTTTTATGATGCTTAGGAAGTGAATAAGCAAATGGAAGATCTCTGTCTCTGCCTTCCAAATGCATGTGCTTTTTTTACATGAAAAAGCAAACTTTAAAGTTATTTAAATTTTAATTAGGAATTTCACCTTTTCCCTACAAAGTCAAAAGTGATTCCCTCTATTTTATCATATTTTCATTAACTTACCAAGAGAAAATGTAACATGAAGGATTATGTAAAAATATCTTCAAGGTAAAAAAATTAAAACACAATCTGATATACAGATTTTTAAGACATATAAAATGTTTTCCTGTATAATTTGAATAGCATTTCCTATTTTTTTAAAGATTTACTTATTTGTTGGAAAGTCAGATATACAGAGAGAGGAGAGACAGAGACGAAGATCTTCCATCCGATGATTCACTCCCCAAGTGAGCGCAACGGCCGATGCTATGCCAATCCGAAGCCAGGAGCCAGGAACTTCTTCTGGGTCTCCCACATGGGTGCAGGGTCCCAAAGCTTTGGGCCATCCTCGAGTGCTTTCCCAGGCCGCAAGCAGGGAGCTAGATGGGAAGTAGAGCTACCGGGATTAGAACTGGGGCCCATATGGGATGCCAGCGCGTTCAAGGCAAGGACTTTAGCCACTAGGCCACACCGCCAGGCCCTAGCATTTCCTATTTTCAAAGCCTCTCACGCGCCTTACACAGCAACTAACCACATAACAGAGCCCCTAAGAACCTCAGCCATCTCATCTTACAGCCCACTCTAACCCTGACAAACAGATGTTGATTAATTACTGTCAAACAATTCATCAAGGTGCTAAAGAAATCAAAATAAAAATTAATGGAAAGGACCCAGCACGATGGCCTAGTGGCTAAAGTCCTCGCCTTGAACATGCTGGGATCCCATTTGGGCGCCAGTTCCAATTCCGGCAGCTCCACTTCCCATCCAGCTCCCTGCCTGTGGCCTGGGAAAGCAGTGGAGGACAGCCCAAAGCCTTGGGACCCTGCACCTGCGTGGGAGACCTGGAGGAAGTTCCTGGCTCCTAGCTCCGGATCGGCACAGCACCAGCCACTGTGGTCACTTGAGGACTGAATCATAGGTCGGAAGATATTTTTCTCTCTATCTCTTCTCCTCTCTGTATATCTGACTTTGCAATAAAAGTAAATAACTCTTTTTTAAAAAGTAATTAAACATACAACACTTTCCTTGCTCCTAAAAATGGGTACACAATAGAAAGACACAGCATGTAATAAAGGAAAGGGCAGAATTACAGAGGAGCAAAGTTTGTTA